GAAAAACTTTCTAGTTATTCGAATGTTATACTGCACGAAAGATTGCGCAGATCCACGGCGACAACTAATCTTTTTGTTTAAGGCGTTAGATAAAAAAAATTAAAAAATAAGTAATATTCATAAATTTTATTTAAAATAATACAAGTTTTAACCATTTTATTTCATATTTTATATTAAATAAGATATATTTATCTATAATTTATATAAGATTTTGGAGAAAAAACAAAAAAAATTAATGGATGAAGATAAATATTTACAAAAACTTTGGGGGTCAAAAGTAATATTCGAAAAAATTAGTACCAAATATCTAAAAAAAATTATTGGGGGGTCAATGGCCCCATGCCCCTATCAAGTTCCGCCAGTGAACAGCGATCAACAAAATATTATAGCAATGTATAATAACGATTAACACAGCATACTAGCAGTTAATGTAACAGAATGAATAGCCGGTAAGAAAATTTGACCGATGGCCAACTCATATTTTGTGATTTTGAACAAAATATTCATACTGTAGAATTCAATGGGCAGCTCCGATAGTTGAATCCATAGTATGATATTTATTTAGTGTTTTTTAATGGAAATTACAAAATTAGGCCTCATTGTTGGATCGTGAAGTAGTACTTAAACACGAACCAAGACCGCCAGCTAGTGCCAAAAAGTATTCTTCTAATTATCAAATTTTACAATTTAGTATCCTCGACCAAGATCCATTGCGAAAAGTTTTTGATTTGTTTTCCATGTCTTTTCAAATCTAACAACAATATCACTATTAGTGTATATATTAGGTATATATATTATTATTATTATTATTATTATTTATTATAGTTACCTTGTGTAATAGGTTAGGGTTTCCTACATGTAACTATATATATATGATTAATATACGTGAGAGACATAATTCTCTCTTTCTCCAACTCTATTTCTCTTATATGTATCAGACACTAGCTTAACCTAGCCGTCACCACCATCTTTCTCTTCTCAGCCGTCTCCATGGCCGGCGACGCACTTCTCTCTCCACCGCCCCTCTCAATCCTTTCCACCTTGCTCATGCCATCTCTAATATCGAATCTCTCATCCCCGCCATTCTAAATCAGAAAAATCCCAACTATCAAAATTGGAGCCATTTTTTCACAATTACCGTCGGTCGTTTCTGCCTCTCCGATCTTCTCAATGGAAAACCCTGACCCGACTCAATTTCCGTCGATGAATGGTAACGCGCCGACTATCTCCTCCAATCTTGGATCTACGGCACCATCTCCGATGATTTGTCTGATGCGATCTCTCGAGTATCATAAATATTTCCTACGAAACGTAAGATCTATTCTTTAATATTTTTCTCTTCATAATAAAACCCTAGCACAAGACGACTATTTAAAGATAATAAAACCCTAGAATCCTAATCTAACTGGAAAAGATAAGTACCTATACTAATTAAATACCTAATAATCTCCTAACCACTACTAACTCACGGCTATATTCAATCTAATTATACTATGCTAATTAATTAATAATAAAATACTAACTAAACAATTAATTAAATAATATATTAAATTGTATTTCGTATCAAACCACCCCTCTTGAAATGAACCTTGTCCTCAAGGTTCGAGTCAATTTGCGTTTCCACCTATGTTTGACTTCATCGACTTGCTTCCCGATTGACTCCGACTCTGACTCCGAAAAACATGATGAACGATCAAGATCTTTACCACACTGTTTATGTCGATCGAACGAACTCCTAAAGGCTTTTGGAAAGATTCTCAATATTTTTCCCGATAAATAAGCCTCTTCAATTACCTTTTCAAATTCCGGTTCATTCACAATCACCAATTCTTGTTCGTCTTTTTTCCGTTCAACATCAAGGAATCTCCCAATATACATTGTA